TGCTGTGAGCTGTGATGCCACGGCACTCTACCCAGGGGGAAAGTCTGAGTCTCTGTCAAAAAAAAAAAAAAAAAACAAATGCATAGAAATCCTGCTGGGGCTTATATTTTGGGTAGGTCTTATTTTCGGGGAAACACAGTACACTGGAGCTGGCAGGTTGGAATCCAGCCCAGGCCTGCCAAACAACAATGACAACTACAACAGCAAAAAATAGCTGGTTGTTGTGGCAGGAGCCTGTAAGTCCCAGCAACTTGGGCGGCTGAGTCAAGAGAATCACTTAATCCCAAGAGTTGGAGGTTACTATGAGCTGTGATGCCAGGACACTCTATGCAGGGCAACATAGTGAGACTCTATCTCCAAAAAATAAATAAACAATAAAATAAAATAAAATAAATAGGCTCAACATCCGTACCACAGTGGTTACGGTGCCAGTCATATACACAGAGGCTGGTGGATTCGAAACTAGCCCAGGCCAGCTAAACAATGACAACTGCAACCAAAAAATAGCTGGGCATTGTGGCAGGCGCCTATAGTCCTAGCTACTTGGGAGGCTGAGGCAAGAGAATCACTTAAGCCCAAGAATTTGAGGTTGCTGTGAGCTGTGACATAACAGTGCTCTACTGAGGGTGACATAGTAACACTGTCTCAAAAAAAATAAAAATAGCACAGAGAAATGTTCGATATTTACCTGGGGCAAATAGATCCAGATAAAGGTGTGGAAGGAAGCTGCATCACTTTATTTTGGGGAAGGGCATTGGCCTGGGATCCTAGTGTGGTCAGAGAGCATTTTACCTTTTTGTTATGTTTTCATTCTTTGCAAGGAGAACTTGTTTGTGAATATGTGTATAATTAAACATTAACTTTTGAAAAGTGCTAAGTGCAGGGCCTGGCCCACAGACAAATCAGGCTGTTCTTGTTCAGGCTGTGTCAGTGGAGCAAAGGGTCAGAGGGGGCTTAGAGACTGTGCTTAGGCCATACCACCTTCCCTCCCTGTTCCTGATCCCCCCAAGGCCAAAGCCAGAGCACCTTCTCCATGAGTAAGGGAGAGGGGAACTCAGGACCTAAGGTAGGAGGTTTAGCTTCTGCCCAGTTACCCATTCCACTGGTCCCCAACTCTAGGAGATCCCTCAGCTGGTCCTTATGGGTTGGTGAAGTTGGGCATGAATGAAGCCTGCTTATTTATGTGTCCAGCTGGTGAGGTTGGACCTGGGGACTCACTCAGGATAACATCCCAAGGGGGAAAACCTGAACAGATCATGGAGGATAAATACAGTGAGACACTTTCAGGAGGAAAACCCTCATTATGCCTCAAGGCCTCCCCTCCACCCAACAAGGCTGGGCTTGGAGCCTCTCACCTCCGGGTAGATGGAGCGGTACGGGGCTTGAGAACTTAGACCCAGGCCCAGGCCTGCAAAGTTCGGGGTAGGATGGCTCTGAAACCCCTTGAGCCTCTACAAGATGGGGAACCCTGCCTGGAACTCCGATTCAGACGCAAGCTCTAACTACTGCTGAATCCTAGGGCTGAATTATGGTCGGAGCCCTGGCTAGGGAGGCCTGGAGCCAGGCTTCTGCTGGTGAAAGCCTCTCGAGGATAAAGGAGAACTAGGCCTCCGCTCATAGCCTCCTCCCTCAAAAATTGGATTCAGCCCCAACATTGCCAGGCAGAATGTGGGCGCGGAGGCTCAGAGAGCTGTAGCATAGGGGGCTGGTACCCCATGACTGTCTGTGGGCGGCCTCAGGATGTCAGGGACCAGGTACTGTGCATCTCACATCGGTCCCAGGGCTCCGCTGTCTCGCTGGTGCAGGCCCCACACTCAGCCTCGGGGAGTCCGCGTGATACTCCCGGCAGGAGCTCCTGAACGTCATGGGTCCTACCTGGCGAGCTGGCGTAAGGGTCCCGTCCACGTCAAACAGGCAGAGAACGCGCTCCTTCCTGCGGGCGCCCTCGGCGATGACCGCCATAGCTGCAGCTCCACCAGCCGGGAGGATTAACTGGATGCAGCAGCCAAAGTAGAGCCTGAGAGAGGCTAGACTGGGCGGGGCCAAGCAAGAGAGGCGTGGCAGGGTGTGATCTCGGCGAGAGAGGGGTTGGTCCGGACAAGGCAGGGGCGGGGCCTGAGCGCGGGCAGAGCTTGATTCTGATTGCACCTGAAGAGTGGGCGTGTCGTAGGGCGGAGCATAGGCTGTTCCAGTTTCAGTCAGATTGCTCCAAACCAGGCGAAGGCGGAGCCTGAGCGTGGGACTCGGGCGAAGTGAACGATTGAACACGGAAGACAGGTGGGGGGCCAGAACTGGACACTGGCGTCATGAAAGTTATTGCATCAGGGCTGGGCGCCTGTAACTCAAGCGGGTAGGGCGCGAGCCACATACACCAGAGCTAGCGGGTTCGAATCCAGCCTGGGCCTGCCAAACAACAATGGCAGCTACAACCAAAAAATAGCCAGACGTTGTGGCAGGCGCCTGTAGTCCAAGCTACTTGGGAGGTTGAAGCAAGAGAATCGCTTAAGCCCAGGGTTGGAGGTTGCTGTGAGCTGTAATGCCACGGCACTCTACCCAGAGCGACAGCTTGAGGCTCTGTCTCAAAAAAAAACCCCAAAACCTATTGCATCAGGCCAAGAGGGGGCTGGACTTGGCGTGGCCTCAACCCAGAGGTGTAGCCGGGCGGGACTCTGAAAGCCAGGGCCACTCCTCACTCTCCCTAGATTTGTAGGGCAATCTCTTTGCCCCACAATCTTGAGCTTTAAAGTAATCTCCTGATGCTGATCGCATGAACCCAGGAGTTTAAGGTTGCTCTGAGCTAGGCTGAGGCCACAGCAGTTTAGCCCAGGTGAGAGAGAGAGAAGCTGTCCTCCTTCTTCACCCATAAAGAAATCTGGATGCCGGGTGTGATGGCTCACGCTTGTAATCCTAGCACCCTGGGAGGCCAAGGCAGGTGGATTGCCCTGAGCTTAGAGGTGCGAGATCATCATGAGCCACAGTGAGACCCCCATCTCTCCCCTAAAAAATTCCCGAGCGTTCTGGCAGGTGCCTGTAATCCCAGCTACTTGGGAGGCTGAGGCTAGAGAATCACTTAAACCCAAGGACCTAGGGGTTGGTGGAGGTTGCTGTGAGCTATGATTCCACAGTACTCTACTGAGGGTCACAAAGTGAGACTCTCTGTCTCCATTAAAAAAAAAAAAAGGCTCAGTGCCTATAGCTCAACCGGCTAAGGTGCC